TGATTTTCCCTGTTTTTCTATTGTATAGTTTTTACTATTTGCACAAATTATAATTCTGGACAGTAGTGCTTTGTGATTTACATTTGCCTTTTGTTGCCTTTTCACTTTTTAATGATGTCTTTTTTTTTTTTTTATCCTTACCTGAGCACATTTTCCCATTTTTTTGTTCAGATAGTGTGGGAGGGAGAGAGAGGAGGCGAGAGAGAGAGAAACATCGACATGAAAGGGACACATCGAGTGGTTGCCACCCGCATGACCCATCTAGGGCCGAGGACAAACTGCAAACAAGGTACACGCCCTTAGTGGGAACCGAACCCGGGTCTCTCTGGACCACAGGCTGATGCTCTAACCACTGAGCCAAACCGGCCAGGGCTAATGATGTCCTTTGATGAAGAGAAATTTTAGTATGGTCTAATTTATCAGTCTTTTTATTAGATTCTAATTCTTAGAACTCTTTCTCTGTTTGTAATTATGAAGATATTCTGCTGCATTATCTTCCAGAAGACTTTATAGTTTTGTCTACTAGATATATATTCCACCTGGAACTGATTTTTGTACATGTTGTGAGAGTTAAAGACCCAGTTTCATGTTTTCATGTGTAAGTCCAATTACCCAGCATCGCTACTGACAAGACTCCTCGGGCAGAAACGGTGTGTGTGTCTGAGCTTCTGTTTTCCCCATGGGCCTCCCTGTCCATCTCTATGCACGGGCACACTTTCATGGTAAGACCTTCTGTCTCAAGTGCAGGGTGTTTGGGCAATTTTTTACCCTTTGCATTTCATAAGTTTTAGAATTAGCTGGTTAAGTTGAGATTTTGTTTGAGATTGCATTGGTTGGTTTGGGAAGAATTTAATATGGGTAATATTGAGTCTTAGAAACCATGACTAGGGTATCTCTGTTCACTTGTTAGATCTCCTCTAATGTTCATCATTATAGTTTTGTCTTTTTCTCCATAGGTTTTATGCATATTTTGTTATATTTCTACGTTTTTCTTATTTTGTGATGACATTTCTAAAAGATATATATTTTTACTTTGTTTGCATTTCTTTTTTTTTTTTTTTTATCCTCACCCGAGGATATTTTTCCATTTTTTGTACAGATAGAGTGGGAGGGAGAGAGAGGAAGGGAGAGAGAGAGAGAAACATCGACGTGAAGGGACACATCGAGTGGCTGCCACCCACACGACCAACCACGGCCGGGGAGAAACTGCAACCGAAGTACATGCCCTCAGCGGGAACCGAACCCGGGTCTCTCCGAACCGCAGGCCGACGCTTTAACCCCTGAGCCAAACTGGCCAGGGCTGTTTGCATTTCTTTTTCTAATTATTTGTTGCTGTTATGTGGAAATCCAGTTGAGTTTTGTATATTTTATATCTAGCAATATTGTTAAACTCTTAACTAATTTCAATAATTTACCTGCAGTTATTTTAGCTTTTCTAGGCACGCAGTCATGTTTCCTGTGAGTAATGGATTTTCTTGTTTTCTTTTCCATTCCTTTACCCTGGGTTTTTACTTTATTTATTTTTATTTTTATTTTCTTTTGATTTTTGCTTTTCCATGCTGGCTAGTAATTCTAGTATACTACTGATTAGGTGGGGTATTAGAGTGGCCTATTTTTTCTTGTTTTAGATAATAAATAAAAGGAGAGCTTTCACCATTGCACCACTAAATTGTGATAGGGTTTTTTTTAATAAATGGCCTTTATCGGGTTAAAGAGGTTCCTTCCTATTGTTCATTTTGCTAAGAATTTTTCATCATGAACGAATGAATTTTACCAGACACTTTTCTGCAACCCTTAAGATGACTATATATATGGTTTTTCTTCTTTATTGTTAATGTGATTAATTACAATAATTTGTTAATGTAAAAATCACCTTAAACTTCTGGGATAAGCACAATTTAGTAATGATGGTTTTCCTCTACATATATGTTATATTTTGTTTAATACTTTGCTTAATATTTTATAGTCTAGGTATATCATTTAATGTCTAACTTTGGGTAATTATTTAAATTTTCTGTTCCTCAATTCCTCATTTGTAAAATGGGGTAATACTAGTGCCTGCCTTCTAGGCTATTGTGAAGGTTAAATGATTCATTATAAATAAAGTTCTAGGACAGTATCTGACATACCGGAAGCATGATGTGATGTTTGTGTGGTGGGCCACCCTGATAGCTTCCCATCCCTTGGTGGCCTTGCCAGCTATGTCACAAGATCAGCAAGCCTGTTTCTCTTTTGTTGACGAGACCTCTGCTTGACTCCAGTTAGACTTCTTGTAAAGGATAAATAACTTCTGTTGTGTCCAGTCACTGAGATTTGTGAGGTTTTCCACTACAGTTGGTAGTTACTTACCTTAAATCATAGGACTACGTGGGCTTTCAGTTTCTTCTTTCGTTAGTTTTTGTAAGTTATGTATCTCTAGGAATTTGTTCAACTGCCTACTTTTAAAATTTTTTTAAATTTTTGGCATAACACTCGATCTTTAGCATCATTTTAATAGCTTCAGCATTTCAAGCTGTGTCACTGTGGCAGGGATGTAGGGGCACTTGTGTCCCTTCAAGTACGACCTTGATGTGCATGTAAGAGACAACCTCCAGCTGCTTGTGTCCTCAGGCTCTGTGCCAGCTTTCATCTGTGAGCCCTAGCCAGTGACCAGCAGGCGACACACCGGGGCCTGGCCCTCCCGCCACGAGGATTGCCTCAAACAGGCTATCTCCAGAGACCACTGGGCTGGCAAGACTTTGTCCAGTCTGCGTTGTGGTCTGGAAGGCCCCTGCTCCTGCATCCTTCCAGTGACATGCTAACTGCTCAGCATCTGCTTCCCGGGCCCAATTCCCACTCCCCTTGGTCAGCCGTGTCATTGGTTGTTTGAACTTGATCTCTTCATTAGTCTACCAGAAGTTTGAGTTGACCAGTCCTGTCAAAGAACCAGCCTTGGTCCTCATTTCATTTTCTTCGTTTTCATTTTCTGCTCTTCCCTTTCCTTTTTAGCCATGCTGAAATGAATGATACAGTTAGCTTTAAAATATTATGTCATCAATTTTCCTGTTCTGTTTTTCTCTTGCTTTTTCCTCTAATGGAATTGATATATTTTAGTTTGAATCTGCCATATCATTTTGTGCTGTTTAATTTCTTCTGTCATTTTTTTCCCCAGCCACTGTTGCTATTTTAAGATTTAGTGTTTAGCATTTCACCTCTAGTTTGGAAGCCATGCACCCTCTTTCGGGCGTATCCATACCCGTTCATGCTTATTTATTCAGCCTTTCCCTCTACCTCTGATGTCATACAGCAGCCATGAGCATTAACTCCCCATGCACCCCTTCTGGCTCACATGGGATGCTTTTCAGTCATTTTAATGAAATATTATTAATCTCACAGAAGGTATGTATATAGTCACTATTGTATTTGTAGTTATTTACTATTTATTCTTTGCTCACATCTCAGACATTCCATCTGCGATCACTTTCCTTCTGCATTTAGAATTTCTATTCATGCCTCCTGGTGGGAGTTCCCCTGTTATAGTCTAAAAATGCCTTTATTTTTGAAGACTATTCTCGGGCTGGGATTACAGTTGGCAGTTCTGTTCCTCTTGGGGCTGCTGTGTTGTCTGTACTGTAGTCTGTGCCCCGTCCTCCTGGATGTAGGCCCCCAAAGGGCTGCACTGGGACTCGACCCGGACTCGGACATAGCAGTGGTCAGTCCACCTGCTCCTCATGGGCTCGAGTCAGCAGTTGCCTGTCTAAGGGAGGGAGTGAAAGGCTCTCCTTGGGGGAGGGGACAGGAGGCTCTGTTCCCTAGGAGCTATGGCTCTGCCCTCCTTCCCGTAGCCTCTCCCAGGGCCTGTCCCATGTTAGATGTCGGTGTCCATGTGACTGCCGGTCCAGACAGTCCAATGACGATAAGAGATCCACAATTTAACACTTTATTGATCACTTTTGACACACAATGTTAACAACAGCAAACACATGAGGAGCGATGTGCAGACAGACGAGCTGTTTCACTAAAGGTTTGCAGGCCAACCCTTGACAGTGACCCAACAGGTGACTCTGAGCCTCACACTCTGAGAGGGGGAGCAGGGGCCCACAACCCCACAGATGTTCCTGCTGAGCGCAGTTTAGACTTTCCGAGTCAGAACACCCATGACATTGACTTTACTGTACCCATCACTCAGATAAAGTGATACACTCAGTACTCCCTAACATTAATAAGATGGTGTAAAAATATATTGCATGTATATATAAATTTTATTTCCCTTTCCTGAAAAAATTAGTACAAACTAGTAGTATATGATCCCTTTCAAGTTTCTTTTAAGTTGTGCAAGTTTCCTTTGTTTGGCTTGGTTTGGTTTTATAAAAGTCTGCAGGAAGAGAGTTAACTGACGTATCTCCAAGCACAGTGACCACTGCCTAGCACGTCACCACCCCTGCACACTCTCCATGTGCCCACACCACAGGCCAGAGCCCTGGACCACCAGACTTCACAAACTGTTCGGTGGTAAATAATTGGAAGGAAACTATTCAGAGTCATTGGTTTAAGGGCAGTCTAACCTGTTGATAATTTCACAGTACAGCTAAATTGTCAACCTGTACTGTATCGAACAGGTGACAACAGGGTGCCCCGTGTGCTGTGTGCTGCAGGACAGGGAAGTGCCCAGCTTGTGTTTAAACACCCGGGAGGAAGTAAGCCCAAGTGTCTCCTCAAGGGCTTCCCCGTGAAGGGCCAGGTGGTGAATATTTTAGGTTTCATGGGTCATGGCATCTGTGTCAACTCCCCAGTGCCCATGTCGCTGCAAAAGCAGCCACAGACAGTACACATGCACACGGCATGGACTGTGCCATTAAACATGACACAGAAACAAGCCATTGTGCTGCCCCAGGTGCCAGAGGGCCTCTGCCTGCTGCCATAGTCCTGTCCACCCAGCGGTCAGACGGCCACCGCGGCCTGCCCGGAGCTGTCAGCCACCGGGACCTGAGGCGAGTAGTCCCGACCGGCAGCGAGTGGTGCCAGTGGGCTGCCTCTGCCGACCTCCCGACGGACCAGCATCTGCGTAATTCTCACCGTCCAGAACTCAAGCCCAAGAATATTAAAGGTGTAAAAATACTCCAGTATAAATATATATCTTACTATAATATTTTAAAATTATGTAATTTGAACTTCAATTTTGGTAAAGCTAACTGTTCCTGACCACTGCCTAGTTGCATTAAATAGAAATAAATAACTATTCTGGTATGATCAGTGTTCTCAAACACGTTCCTTCTAGTGTTCTCTCCTGACACCATCAGTGCTGTCCTCCCCTCAGAACACATCCTGTCCACTGGGTGTGCCATCACAGTGCGTCCTGTCCCCTGGGTGTGCCATCACAATGCATCCTGTCCCCTGGGTGTGCCATCACAGTGCGTCCTGTCCCCTGGGTGTGCCATCACAGTGCGCCCTGTCCCCTGGGTGTGCCATCACAGTGCGTCCTGTCCCCTGGGTGTGCCATCACAGTGCGTCCTGTCCCCTGGGTGTGCCATCACAGTGCGTCCTGTCCCCTGGGATCCCCATCACAGTGCGTCCTGTCCCCTGGGTGTGCCATCACAATGCATCCTGTCCCCTGGGTGTGCCATCACAGTGCGTCCTGTCTCCTGGGATCCCCATCACAGTGCGTCCTGTCTCCTGGGATCCCCATTACAGTGCGCCCTGTCTCCTAGGTGTCTCCATTACAGTGCGCCCTGTCTCCTGGGGTCCCCCCATCACAGTGCGTCCTGTCTCCTGGGGTCCCCATCACAGTGCGTCCTGTCTCCTGGGATCCCCATCACAGTGCGTCCTGTCTCCTGGGTGTCCCCATCACAGTGCGTCCTGTCTCCTGGGTGTCCCCATCACAGTGCGCCCTGTCTCCTAGGTGTCCCCATCACAGTGCGCCCTGTCTCCTGGGGTCCCCCCATCACAGTGCGCCCTGTCTCCTGGGATCCCCATCACAGTGCGCCCTGTCTCCTGGGGTCCCCATCACAGTGCGCCCTGTCTCCTAGGTGTCCCCATCACAGTGCGCCCTGTCTCCTAGGTGTCCCCATCACAGTGCGCCCTGTCTCCTGGGATCCCCATCACAGTGCGCCCTGTCTCCTAGGTGTCCCCATCACAGTGCGCCCTGTCTCCTGGGGTCCCCATCACAGTGCGCCCTGTCTCCTGGGGTCCCCATCACAGTGCGCCCTGTCTCCTGGGGTCCCCATCACAGTGCGCCCTGTCTCCTGGGGTCCCCATCACAGTGCGCCCTGTCTCCTGGGATCCTCATCACAGTGCGTCCTGTCTCCTGGGGTCCCCATCACAGTGCGCCCTGTCTCCTGGGGTCCCCATCACAGTTCGTCCTGTCTCCTGGGGTCCCCATCACAGTGCGCCCTGTCTCCTGGGTGTCCCCATCACAGTGCGCCCTGTCTCCTGGGTGTCCCCATCACAGTGCGCCCTGTCTCCTGGGGTCCCCATCACAGTGCGCCCTGTCTCCTGGGGTCCCCATCACAGTGCGTCCTGTCTCCTGGGTGTCCCCATCACAGTGCGTCCTGTCTCCTGGGTGTCCCCATCACAGTGCGCCCTGTCTCCTGGGTGTCCCCATCACAGTGCGTCCTGTCTCCTGGGTGTCCCCATCACAGTGTGTCCTGTCTCCTGGGTGTCCCCAACACAATGCGTCCTGTCTCCTGGGTGTCCCCATCACAGTGTGTCCTGTCTCCTGGGTGTCCCCAACACAGTGTGTCCTGTCTCCTGGGGTCCCCATCACAGTGTGTCCTGTCTCCTGGGTGTCCCTGTTACAGTGTGTCCTGTCTCCTAGGATCCCCCTCAGAATGTGTCCTGTCTCCAGTGCCTGCTGTGCAGTTTCTTTTGTTCACAGGTAGACATGTAGTTTGTATTGAACCATGGTTAGTAGAAGCTGACTGGCATTGCATAAACACATGCAGCACGGACACGTGCTCTGCCTATGTATTCACAACACAGAACCCGATAGAGGGACATGCACGTGTCTGTCTGGTGCAGTGAAGGTGGAGTCCAAGCTCGTGTGAATTCAGAGGCCACACGCGAAGATGCACTGATGCACGCACCAGGTGGTTTTAAACGGACAGAATGGAGAATGCTAAGTCTTCATGACTTACCCCTTCTTCCTCCTCCTCTGACAGAGGGGAGGGTGGGTTTTCAAAGTATACCTTGACTGGAGAACGATGTGTCCTGGCGTGTGCGTGTGCCTGGGGACGGGCAGGGACACAGGGAGACCGCAGCGCCTTTGTGGCCAGCGGGACCTCAGTGTTGTGGACCAGGCTCTTGGCCCTGGGATGGCAGGGAGTCGGGCCCAAGCGCAGCTGTGTGCACTTGATTTCATTCATGAAACCCAGAGAGAAGCTGCTGCTGTCAGGGTCAGCAGAGCACGCTGAATTTTTCTCAGAAGTGGACCAGTAGTTTCTTATCAAGTAGCTGCCCTCCCAGCCTGCGGTGGGGGGTGCTCTGCAGGCCACGGCCTGCCTCCCGGGTGGGTGGGAGCACTGCTCACTGGGGGTGCTGCGGCAGGGTCCCTGAGGACAGCCACTCGTGTTGTTTCTTTTGCTTAGACCCCACTTTCCCAGCATGCTCCTGGCAGGCTGGCCCTCGGCGGGTTGGAACCTTCCTGTGGAGGCCATTCTCGCCTGAAGACAACGCTCTGCGACAGGAGACCACATCCCGGTGCTGGGCACCTCTCTCCAGGGTCCAGCGGGCACAGGAGGGCTGAGAAGGACCTGCATACATGGCAGACCAGGGGACATCTCTCTCTGTGGCTGTGGTGAGGGGGACCTTGCCAGCGTGCCCACTGTAGTGGCCGAGGTCCTGCTGACTCCGGTGCCGATGGGGACTGGGCTGTTCATGGGCAGGAGACCCGCGGCCTCTGGCGAGCGTCCCTCCACCGTGGCGCCTCCAGACCTGAGGAGAAGCCCTGTTCTGTGGCCACTGAAGAAAACCTCTGGCACCATGATCAGCTTCTTGTCAGGAAACACTCTGCATGTTCTGTTGTCTGCAGGTGCATTTACACTGGTTACTCTTGCCTTGGGTTTCACACAAAGGTCCAGCCTGAGGGAGGAGAGAGAGGCCCAGGGTGGGGGTCTGGTGTCCTGCCTGCCTTTGCCCCAGCCCTTGGCCCCCAGTTTCCCCACTGTGGAGTAGCCTAGCCAAGCAGTTTAGAATCCCCAAGTTAGAAATTTGTGAGACAACAGTGAGATTAGCCCTAAAAGTGACCCTTGGCGCCTGTGCGCCATCGTTTCCTGGGTGCTAATGCCACAGGCAGTGAGCTCCCGGAGCCTCCGGACGAGCTGCCTGTGGAGGCTCCTCCATGTGTGAGCCAGGCTGGGTGTCGGGGTGGTGGCGTGCAGGGCCTGGGGGAGACACGGTGGCTTCAGAGGGGCCGGATCAGATGGAGCACTGGCCCGGAGCCCACGCGTTGGAGCTCCCCCATCCCGGAGGCGACCAGCTTGTGCGCTGTGGCAGTGCGCGTCCCTGCTCAGCCACCTTGCGAGGCCAGGCTGTGTGCAGAGCAGACCGCGGCTGTGGCAGCGGGTTCCAGGCAGCATCTTTCTGAGAGTGCCTTTCCCCAGGACCGGCTCCAGGACCACGTGGCCCAGCAGGCCCCTCGCCATTCTGGGGCTGCATTTATGCAGATGGAAGTGCTGCCTGTGGCCCCTGTGAAAGCACCCCCCGCCCCCAGCAAGTGCTGTGGGCCTTTAGGAGGGGACCCCCTGGCTTGGTTTTGTTGTACGGGGGTTAGGAGAGTCCAGAGAGGCGAGAACCAGCTGCAGAGGCTAGAGCTGCAGAGATCTGTGCTGCACTGTGCCGAAGGGAGCGGCCCCGCTGCCCACAGCCTGCAGCCTCGAGGCCAGGTCAGAGCAGGGGCCAGCAGGTGCCCACACGCCTGCCTGCGGGGAGCCTCGAGGCCACAGGGTCTTGTGACCTGGAGACGGACAGCAGGGAGAGCCACAGAAACAGGATGTTCTGAAACTTCCCTAATCCGTTCTGACAGTAAACACACGGTCACTGTTTCTCCTTATTTCTTCTTTTCTTTAAAAAGCAAAATGAAATGACCTGTCCTTAGTTTCCATTTTAAAAACTTCTAACTTCACACTTCAGATCGCTTTCCTTTGGTCTGCTGAGGAGCTTCTTCCACCGACCCCCCTTCCTTTGCACCAGGTCTTCGCTTTCTGACCGCCCTGAGCACAGCCCTGGTCCACAGGTGTGTGTGTGAGCGTGTGTGTGAGTGGGGGTGTGTGCGTGAGCATGTGTAAGCATGTGTCCGTGGGTGAGTGCATGAGTGTGTGCATGAGCATGTGTGTGCATTTGCAAGCATGCACCTGTGTGCCGCACACCTGAACGGAGCCCTCGCAGAGGTCCCTGTGTCCTGTTCGAGGTCCACTTCATGTCACTGGTGCTGCTGGTTAGTGCGTTAGTGCCTTTGCCCTCATGGCTCCTGGGAGGGGTCTGCTGGCAGGAGGTCGGCACCACCTCTGATAGGTCTGTCCCACCTGCTCTTTAAAACACGGCTTCCGCCTGCAAACCAGGTGGCCTGTGTGGTCCGGATCCAGGAAACACTTTGGAAATGACCATTTGTTGACTTCCCAACATGGGACGAGGCAGGTGCATTAGAAAAAGGTCAGTGAGTTCAGGGGCCACACCTGGGGAGGAGAGGAGCATGCCAGGGCCCCAGGCAGGAGGGAGGCCTGGGAGTCACCCACAAATACTCGACCCCAGCATCTGAGTTCTGCCCCGTGAGCCCAGGAATGTAAAGAAGTGTGAGGTGATGTGGGGCCAACAGCAGTGGAAGGCCCTGTCCCTGGGGACTGGCTACTTGCCCCCCTGCACCTTCTGGTCGTAGGTGCCCGCGTGCTTGTAGCCTGGCACGTAGCCCGACTCGTCTACCAGGTCCACGCGGCCCGCCTTGCCCTTGCCCCTGCCTGACGGGTCGAAGCGCTCCTTGTGGGAGCCCGTGAACTTGGTCGTGTCCGTGAGTCGCGACACCGTGGGCGAGGAGATGGCTTTCTGCAGGAGAGCAGGGAGAGGGGTTAATGGCAGTTGAACCGAAGGAAAAAGAACAGGTGCATCAAGGGGAGCCTGAGGGGAGATTCCAACCGAAGAGGCTGAGCCCGTGCACAAGGGACACAAACAGCTCCTGGAATCCCCTCTCGGCTGTGGGCCTGGGGAGGTGGCCTGGTCAGCCCACACCGGGGATTAAGGCTCCCACCCCCTCTCGGCCGCTGCAGTCTGTGCCCTAGACCTCATAGACCCTGCTTCCCAAGGGCCCGCCGCCCGCCTGCTCACCGTCACTCCTGAGATGATGGGGGCCTTGCCCTCTATCAGCCTGTGCACCTCTTGCACAGCCTCCTCGCTGCTCTTGTCCTTGAACCTCTTCTTGGAGAGCTCCTCCAGCGCCTCCTTGAACTGCTCGAAGGTGATGGTCCTGCAGGACTTCCCTCTGCAGGAGAGAGGACTCGGGCACCGCCCACTCACCTCGCTGGCCTGGGACCCCAAGTGCCATGGGGGAACCCTAACCCTGCCTGGGGACAGGGGATCCCAGCCCTGCCCAGGGACCCCCCGCCTCTCCCACACCAGAAAGTGAGTCGAACATTAAAACAGAACATGCCCCTCCCCCTGCAGTGTTTACACCCAACAGTTAGTCACCATTGGCAACGGCAGCAAATATAAATTGACTTGGAAAAAGCTTAAAGGAAGCACATCCTCTACGAACAACTGGACAGTAAAACAAGGCCGTTGTCTGGTTCCAAATGGGGCATGTGTGTGGCCTCCACTCAGGGAAGGACTTGAAAGCAAGTTAGGGTGAGAAACCCGTCAGACCCGAACCACAGGGAAGAGGTATCGGTCCTACCTGGGGCACTGCAGGCATCTGTGTGTCACGGTCACCACACAGGGACAGGAGGAGGCAGCTCCGGGACCCCAGGCCCCTGACCCCACGCAAGGCGGCCCACGCCCCGGGACCCCACTGCCCCTGCCCGGAAGCCGCGTGGGCCCGGCCGGTGCCGGGCCAGAGATCAGCACAGAATTCCCCAGGGGAGGTCAGTCATGCAATTTCAAAAGGCTCCAAACTGTTTTCTCACCTTCTATAATTTTAACAGAAGAGTGAAGGTTATTCAGTGGAGCAAGGACCCCCGTGCCCACAGAGGGAGCTGGAACAACTGGACGGCACACGTAAAGTAACGGGCTTCCTTCTGTGCCTTCCCCTTCTATGAGTCCTCAGTTTACTATCAAACCTAAAACTATGAAACTCTGGAAGAACATCTAAGAGAAAATATGTATGACCTTAAGTTAGACAACAAGGTCTTAGAAATGACCAGAAAGCAGTCCATGAGAAAGGATGAACTGGACCTCACCGAAATTCTCTAAACCATTTTCTTCAAAAGACACTGTAATGCAAAGACAAGCCCCAGACTGGGAGAAAATACTGGCAAAACATACATCTGATAAAGAACTGCATTGGAAATATATGAAGAACTCTTAAAACTCAACAAGAAGAAGAAATCTGATGTAAAAAACTGGACAAAATATTTGAAAACCAGGCACTTCGCCAGAGGTCTGTGGGTGACAAGCGAGTACGTGAAGAGACTGCAGGGCGTCAGCTCCCAGGGAGATGCCTCACCCGCAGGGCAGCCTGTGAAGATGACTGACGACATCCCCCGTGCCGGGAAGATGCTGGGCTGCTGGGGCTCAGATGCCATCAGGGGGGCACAATGTGCTGTCCACTGGCGGAGGCTGTTTGGCAGTTTCTTAAAGGTCACACACCTGGGTTCTCGCTCAAGGGAGATGAAAACTTGAGCTCACACATTATCGCTGCTCTCCCCGCAGTTCGCTCATTGTCACCGAGACGCAGAAGCAGCCCCCTGTCCTTCAGTGGTGGACAGACAAACATGCCTGGACACAGCCACAGCAAGTGTGGGGACTCCCTCCCACATTACACGTGTGTCTGAAGACGAGGGACAAGCTGATTGACACTCACGGTCAGGGGGCTGCTGATTGGAGGCTGCAGCCCAACCTCACCCCTTAGGGAGGCCATGTGGAAGCAGGGACGGGGCGCAGGGCCCTCTGGGCACGTTCAGAGCCATCTGTACCCAGGGCATTCATGTGCACAGCAACCACAGGGCAGGGGATGGGTAACATGCTGGGTGAGGGTTTCATTAGACCCATAGTGTTTGGAGGTGGGTTCTGCCCCTCAAAGCTCTCAGACTTGACACCCACAAACAAATTGAGGTCCGCGGGCACTGAGGGCCATTCTGGGAAGCTGCCCTCAGCCTGGGGTGCCCGGAATGGTGTAAACACAGCCTCTTTTCTTACTCTTGACCCTGCTGGGTGGGTACGTTCCAGGGCCCGGAGGAGTCCTGTCTGCCCGGGGCCGTCACAGGCGTGCCTATCTCCTATTCACAGCCTGCCCAGGCTGGCATGTGGGCACCAAGCCTGCCGGCTGGCCCGGAGTCCAGCCGCTGGAGCACACAGCCTCTCTGGGCACTGCGGCACCAGGCGCCACCAGTGTGAGTCACTAGAGTGGGGTGGGGATGGCCCACAGGGACTCCTGTCAAAGGGCACACTCAGATTGGGGCCGATGCACGGGCCCAGGGCCCTGACTTGCCCGCTCCCCCTGTGGGGCCAGGTGTGCCCCAGTGTCCCCACTGTGACCGATGTGTGGGTCTCGGAGCCCTCCCCAGGGGCCCTGGTGCCCTGCTGCTGAGAGAGTGCCCAACGAGTTCTAGAGTGACAATGCCCTCTCTTCCCCCGAGACACGATCACATTACCCTGCTCTCCACACAGAGCCAGCCTGTTCTCAAGAGTGCACACAACGGTGGTGTCCCCACACCGGGCCCCTCTCCCCACCAGCGCCCTACTCAGAGGGCTGTTGTTCTGCTGGGAAGCTAGGCACAAGGCCCCTGCATCCCCTGGGCCTCCTGGCCCCACTAAGGGCAGGCAGGGAGGGGGCTGGGCTGCCTGTTCCTGAAGGTCACCCAGGGACACGAGGAGTCAGCCCATCCTTCCAAGGACAGACCCAGACTCGTGTGTCTCCAGGACCAGCACCATGAAGGCCCCCAGGCTTCTGCCTGTGCATCTCAGGATGGAGCAGCGTGACCCCCAGGCCCCTCCTTGTCAGCACCTTCGTGAACCAAAGTGAACTGCACACTCCCAGGGCCCCGTCCAGCCTACTGGATCCGCTGGGGGTGGAGGGGTGGGGCATGTTGGAGAAAATGCTGGTTCTCCAGGCTCTCCTGACTAGCAGCAGCTGGGACCTGGTGACCTGTCCAGGGAGCAGCCTGCTGGCCAGGACCCCACTGTGAGCAGGAAGTGGGGTGTCAAGGGGGAGACCTAGGCACTGATGAGGGTCACAGAGCCGGGAGCCTCTGTGATATTCCCATGATCCCCTGGGCCAGTGGGGTGTGGGAGAGCTGTGTCCTTGGGGATGCACCTCTGGGGGAGCCCGTGTGGAGGATTTCTTGCTGTGCTCGTGGACAGCTCTCCGCCAGGCTCCCCTGGCAGACCCTCGCCCTCCCCCTGCCCAGGGTCACCCTTTCGCTGGGCCGCCCTGTCTGCCGGAGCTCCAGCAGGCGCAGAGCTGGGAGTGCAGACCGAGCTGCTGTGGATGAGACATGCTGACTGCCGCTCAGATCCTAGGTTCGGCTGCAGATGGCCCCTACCTGCCTGAAGGAACAGCTGTGATCTGCCCCCCCCCCCATTACTTCCCCTAAGTGGGAAAAACCACCCTTACCGTTCTTCCTAACTCTAACTTTGTTTGTCTGACGCAAGCCTGAGGTGGCTTGGATATGGGGACAGGGGCACCTGGGGCTGGACTAACCCTTGGAGGGGCAGGGCCTGAGAAACTCAGGGTAGAAGCCACCGGACGCCCTGCACTGCCGCCAGTGGTCACAAGAGGGCCCCACAGAGAAGCACTCACCGCAGCCACCCTGACACTGGGAGACCCCAACACAAAGCTGAAAGCACAGCGGGGGACTGGGGCTCCGACCTGAATGCCCCAACCTCACCACCAGCCTGGAGGGAGGGGTCAGCCCTCCCCTCCAGGAGCATGGCCACGTCGGCCCTCGAGACACCTCTACCCCACAATCGCGCTTTGCTGTTTTCCCACTACAGGCTTAGCCTGCTCCAGGCTCTGGACACCCCCGGACGGCACCTGGGCTCCAGGCTTGTGCGTCTACGTTGAGCTTCTGTGGTGCACACGCATGGCTCAGGAGCCCTGTCTCAGAAGTCCCCACGTGTTCTGACTTTGACTGTAGTGTGTGTGGCAAGAACGGAGCAGCTTTCCAAGTCGGTGACAGGGAGCCCCGCCCACCTGCTTCCTCCTAACCTGGGGCCCAGATGCCAGACAGGGGCTGAGCTGTCTCCCTGCACTGGTGTCACAGGAAACAGGTTGTTTTCTCTACAAGCACCCACAAGACAGGCGTGTGCATGGGTCAGGAGAGGCTGCAGCAGAGACCCCTGCCCTCCTCTGCCCCCTCGGTCAGGAGCGCAGTGCCTGACCTCACGCATGCAGACACACGCAGGCAGGCTGGAAGGGGATGTTGCCATCCCCAGGCCCCCAAATGGACTGTCAGGGTGACACTCCTGCTTGTGCATGAGGTCCTGATTAATATTTCAGACTGACCATCCTCTGTCCTTTGGGGTGTGTAGGATGCCAGAGTCTTTGTCTAGGTAATAATAGTCTGCAATCTAGACCTAGTATAGAGCTGCAAATTTGTTTAAAATTTAACACATAGTAACATCAAAACAAACAGGCACTGCCATGGTGACAGGACCTAAACAAAGGCTGTAGATACCCTGGCTGGCGTCACCGCCCAGAGCCCTGGCAACCGCCCCCAAACAGAAAGAGCTGCTCTTCTCCACCAAGTCAGCAATTTTGAGGTTCCACACCCGTCCTGCAGGATCCCATGACCTTACCCAGGGCACTGTCCACCTCTCCCATCCCAGGGACAAAGGCATGAGTCCCTCCTACTGTAACCCCGTGGTACCCTGCAGCCACCCAAGCAGGGTGTCCCTGCCTGCTCCCTTCTAGGGCCCCTGCAGCCCCCACAGGCTGGTCTTCACTGTGTAGTGACCACAACCCCTCACTGGGCTGGGGCCACAGCTCTCTGTTCTCCCATTCTATGTTCCCCACAGTGAGCTGAGGCAGAGACACCAGGGGACCCTAAACAGCCCTGGGTTCCACAATGGGTAATCTGCCATGCCCAGGAGCTGGGGACCACACTTCAGCCCCTAAGGGTCCAAGCAGCTGATGTCCTGCCTCTCAGGACAGGCATGGAGAGCAGACGGAATCCTTCTTAGTGCCCGTTCACTCCCGTGATGCCAGTGCCGCCCACGTGGGTGGTGGGGTGGCCATGCCTCCTGCACACAGGGTCTCCAGGCTTGTCCAGGACACTTGTCCTCTGAATGAGCCACCACCACACTCGCCACCTCCCTCCTGCAAGGGTATGGGCAGCCTGAGTTCTACCTGTGTGCTCGTGCATGTGTGTGTGCGTATGTGTACTGTGAGCTCGTGTGCACATGTGCATACACATGCACGGGCATGTCTATGTATACATGTGTGGGCTGTGAGCTCCTCTGTGCACATGTGTGTACATGCAGTAGCTAAAAGGCAACTTACTGAAGAAGGGATTAAGACTGAGAGAAAGAAGTTGCCCCCAACTGCCCTGGCACTTTGCGTGTCTGGGCCAGTGCCGAGGCTGTGGGAAACCGTGGCACTCCCCGGTGAGGTGACCCGCGCCTGGACACGCCACTCATCTCGCCTTCCCCCCAGCCCTCTGACATTCCCCCACAGACAGCGCTCTTGGGGTTCCTCTGCTTGGGTCTGTCCTTTCTCTCGGACACAATGGGTTTACAAAGACCAGTGCTAATGGCCCGAAGAGCCCGTCCAGGGAACTGAACAGAGGGCCCGTGCTGGGCCTCATCCCAGTCTCTGCTCCCAGCTCCTCCCCAGCTGCGCCTGCTTCCTGGAGGTGCCTCTGCTGCGGGGGGCGGGGGGAGCCAGGCCATGAACAGGGAGGGCGTGGGGGTGTCTGAGGTGAAAGATGGCGCGGTCACAGCAACACGCAACCAACGGATAATACTGACCGAGATGGACACAGGCCCAAAGTAGGCGAAAATAAAGCCATTTTCCAGTAACGAGCATGACCTGGATAGAGAGGGCTGGACATTTGGTGGCCTCAGGGGACGCTGTTAATTTTCTCACATGTGGTCACGGGTTGAGGAGGGCAGGAGAATATTTTCACGTCCAGAGATGCCCGGCGGTATGGGAACGGAGTGTGTGGAGCCATTCCCAGACACGCCCCAACGTCCAGGAGAAAGAGCGTGTGCAGGAGCACATGTACATGCACACACACACACAGAAGACTCGTGTCTTCACAGGTACCCAGGAACGTACACTTGCATGCACACAGGTGTATATACACACAGAAGCAGCACATGAGCACACTGCTCAGTCACCGAGTCACAGGCGAAGACTCAGGTGCTAACTGCTGTTACCCACGCTCTACTTGGTGTGCAATCATTCCCAAGGCAAAGGGGAGCCCCAGAGGGGCCACAGGAAGGGCAGGTGAGATGCAGGCCACACCTTAGGGACAGGCTTCCCAGAGGCTCCTCTCAGACTCAGCCCACAGTGGGCCAGGGACTCTGCCACCAAGACCCCTCCAAGCTCCCAAGGGCAGCGCAGTGCCCCCTCTTGGCCCACCCCAAAGCAGCCTGTTCTGGCTCCAATTCCTAGGCATCTGATTCTGGGGAGGGAAGGATCTCGAAGCATTACACTTCCTCACAGTCCTGTAACACGCGAAACCCACCAGCGGACCCTGGCTGTGCGGCCTGGCTGATCACAGGCCTCCGGGAAGCCGGCTCCATGGTGAGAGCCCTAGCTCACTTACTTGATTTTGCTGAAAACGATGTCCACGTCGGTGACAGTCACGTTCTTCCCGTCGATCACCTGGCAGTCTTTGCACAGTTTCGACCAGTTCTTGCCATGCATCTCCTTCCCGGTGGCCCTCGTGTCCCCGTGCACCGCGAACCGCCGGAAGGCCTCCTCCAGGGCGCTGAGCTCCGGGGCTGTGGCGGCTGCCCCCTCGTTGGCACCTTCAGACTCCAGCGACAGCCTCTTAGCCGCCTTGTCCTTTGCAGGGTCTCCTGGGGACTTGGGGGGCGTCTTGTTGGCAGCCTTGGTGGGCTTGGCCTTGCTGTCAGCCATGTTTCTGGTGGAGGGAGGAGAGAAGAAAGGGGTTATTCTGTTTCTGCGGGGGCATTACCCAAGGCCCTTCCGGCTGTCCGCTCACAGGAGGCGGGCAGGCAGCCAGGATGTAGCAGGGCCCCTGGTGCCCCTCTGAGCCGAGCCCTGGGCATGAGGGCACAGAACCCTGCCTGGGTGACCACAGCAGAGTGGTGAGCATTTGTCCTGCTGCTGGACATGGCGACTGCGCCTCAAGCACCAGCACCCTGCCAGCCACTGGCATGGAGTGACGTCATCCTCGGGGAGGGGGTCTAGAATCCGCTGCTGCCCTCACCTCAGGGCTGAGCCTGAAGCCCTCCTGTGAGCGGGAGAGGGAGGCCCCGGGGCATCTGCCCAGGAACCCCGAGGGCTGAGCGTGGCTCAGCATGGCTGTGCCCCAGGCATAGGGCACAGGATGGGGGTACTGCATGCATGGGGGAGGGGGGCACCACTGGCGGCCGGATGTGGGGAGCTCAGGAGCCTGCCCTGGCCTGCCTATGAGCCTCTGCCCCTGTGAGGCTCCTGATCCCCAAAGCTGGGCTGGTTCCTGGGGGTCAGAAGACAGGAGCCCAGGCTGCCTCCAGCAGCTTCAGGAGCACAGAACACCGCTGCCTCCGCCTCTGCAGCCTCCTGCTGAATCACGGCTGGTGGCCAGGGCAAGCCCCCGAGAGCCTCTCAGGAGTGGCTTCCTAGGGAGGGGAGCTCATCTCTGTCTTTACCTCACTGAGAATGGACACTGCTGGGTTCAAAGAGAAGACAGAAGTCAGGACCCACTGGCGCACAACACAAAATCCGGTCTATGAGTTAACAGCAAGCCTGCTTACAACCCTACCCTTCCCTGAAAGTCCCCTTCAAATCTCCGTTCTCAGGACGGAAGATGAGCGACCGGACATTGTGGGGGGTCCTGGTGGCCCTGCTGAACCCAAGATCCTACAAATTTCCCACAGGAAGACGTGAAATGCCCTCCACCACTGGACTGAGTTTCCTCGGGGGCCTCACAGGTGTGGCCCCACCCTGTTCCCCATCCTCTGAAGGCTGCGGAGAGAAATCCCCGCCCTTGACGGGGCACAGCTGGCTCTGGGGCACGTGAGCATCGGATGAGCGCTTCCCACACCCCGCAGGTTCAGGTGCAGGACAGGCAGCGCTGTCCCCAGGCGTCCAGCACCCAGGTGAGGAGTCAGCTGTCTGTGCATCTCTTCCAGGGTCATCGCTGACACCATTTCTTTGTCTGAAACAGGAAGTTCTTAAAGGGTCGATCGGGTGTGTTTACACGGCATCTCTTCAGCACTTGGTGCCCAGGGGAGGAAAGTGGCTGAGAAATTACTACAAGCGCGAGTCGACTTGTGAGAATGTGCGCGTGTGTTCAACTCAGCCAAGGAGGGGGATGCCTCTCATGATACTTCCAACTGAGTGCACATTCCGTGCTCCAGGGAAAGTCACGTCATGAGAAGAGCACCTGCCTGGTGACTCAGTCTGTGACCTCCAGGCTGCAGGCGTAACGTGGCCACAAGTCCAGCACGCAGCCCTCTGCTCTGGGCTTCTTTCTGCCCTACTGTGAACATGCATGATCACAATAAGATATTTAAACTTTTATTTTAACAGAAATGACAGAAGGAGTCAGACCCCGTGTGCAGTAGGGCAAGTTCTCCAAGACGACTGTTTGCTGAGTGGAGAAGCAGGACGTGGAATAGCCGGAGTCACACCCCCTCTCGGGGAACAGACAGTGGGAACGAGAGGCGCGCTGGCACGGCTGGGAGACTGGCCGGCTGGGCCCGGGAGGCAGCGCGTGCTCCGCTGTTTCAATTGCTATAATAAATCCGTGTGCTAGTTCTATAATGATGTAATAATAATAAATTTAATTTCAAAAGAAGCTAAGGGCTCTGGTTGAGGTCTACGGGAATACTCAGGGCCAGAGAGGCCTTCTATACTAATGATGACAGCTGGCACCCGGGGGCCTCCCTCCCAGTGCCAGCCTCCAGCACCTGACCTGCCTAGCTCCTCTCCCCCGCGGACGCTGTGCGTCCCCTCTGCATTGTCGGCCCCACGGTTTCTGGGAGTGCAGTGAGTCTGAACCCGGGGGCCTTCCATGCCCATTCCCAACTGTGCCACCCACTTTCCACAAGGATGAAAAATAAAGTTAATGGGGTAAGAGGCTGCCAGGAAGTCAAAATGCCAACCCACTGAACGCAGCATTCTCTGAGGTGTGTGTGGTCTGTATTCTCAGGTGTGTACTGTGTTTTCAAGCGTGTACCCTGCATCCAAATGTGTACTCTGCACCCACAGGCGTGTGCCCTGCATCTCCAGGTGTGTGCCCTGTGTTCCCAGGTGTGTCCCTGCATGCCCAGGTATGTGCCTTATTTTGCCAGATGTGTGTCCTGCATCCCAAGTGTGTGCCCTGGATTACCAGGAGAGCTGACCCCTTCCTGGCCAAGATTCCCCTTACAAGACACAGGTCAGTGTATGGGAGGCATGGAGGTATGATCGGGTATCACTCCGACTGGCTACAGACCTGGCAGCCTGGCGTCCAGCAGGCTCTGTTCCTGCGCCCTCAATGTAAGGGTTTTCAACAGCTCGGGAAAGCCCCAGTGAGTCAAGTTGTGCGTTATTTCATGGTCCAGGAAGCCTGGCTCCACATGAAAACCCAGCCTCTCTCTTGGCCCTTTCTCATCTGCTTCCCTGGACACACCCCTGACTCTGAGATATGTGTGCGCATGCGGGGTAAGGAGGGAGGAGGGAGGGTGCACAGAGGGGTGAGGAGGCAGACAGGGGAGGTGGGACCTGCTTTCCCAGCCAGGAGCTGGGCTCCCTTGGGACCCCTCTCCTGCTGGCCTCAGGGGTCCCTGGGCAGAAGGATGAGAGCTGTGCCTGCCCCATCCCTGAGCCTTTGACCAAGTGGCCACCACAGGACCCTTCTTGGCAAGGACCCCACCAGCAAGCCCCTCAGCAGCTCCGGGCCTATGGGGGAGGGGCAGGGAGAACAGTGGGTGGGCGGCAGGCGAGGTGAAGGGAGCCATTAGCCTCCCAGGTCCTGCTTGAGGCAGGGCAGGCACTGTCCTGGAGGGTCCGAGGGAACTGATACCCACACTGGGTACGGGGACAGACTGTGTTACTGGATTTGCATTTTTAAAGGAGGGCTTAGAGAGGGCAGGGCAGTCAAAGGATGGAATTACAGACCAGAGCAGCAGGAGAGGCAGGGGCAGAGGGCAACCACCTGGGAACTAGTCAGACAAGAGCCACAGCGTGGGCGACCCATCCAAACCTGGAACACCTGCCCCTTGAGTGCCCGCCAGTCCCCAGGGATTGTCCCCCCACTGGGGTGGGCTGTCTCTCAGCTATCACATGGTCCCCCTGGCGCACACTCCCTCGTAGGCTACAGGTGCTCCAAAGCAGAGGCCGTGACAGGGTCGCTATTTCCACAATGAACGGGCCCTGTTTCAGAATGACTCTTCCTGGAAACCTGCTTTAAAACTTGACAGCCTGAGGCAAAACCTGCAGAAAAGGTGACCCAGGACAGACCTCGACATTAGCACATAGCACCCCAATCAGGAAGAACACAAATTTGTGTTAGTGACATGCCTGCAATAGGGTAAGGTGTATGTGAGCATGACCAGGTGTTTATGAGAAGGACTAGGTATCTGTGAGCAGGACCAGGTGTATCTGTGAGCAGAACCAGGTGTGTCTGTGTGCAGGGTCAGGTGTGTCTGTGAGCAGGACCAGTTGTGTCTTGGAGCAGGGACAGGGGTACCTATGTGCAGGGCCTGGTGTGTCTGTAAGCAGAGCCAGGTGTCTAGAAGCAGGACCAGATATCTGTGAGCAGGGCCAGTATGTATGAGCAGGGCCAGGTGTGTGTTAGCCAAGCCAGTGTGTCTGTGAGCAGAGCCAGGTGTGTCTGTGAGCAGACAGGTATGTCTGTTGAACAGCTCCAGATGCCTGTATGCAGGGTCTATGGTTTTAAAGGCAGCAACAGCAGCAGCTCTGTGCTCTCCTGATTCCCCTTCCCGGCCAGGACGTGGTTGTGCCCTGAATATAAAGATGGGTGTGTGCCTGTTTGCTCAGGTGTGAATCACCTCCACTCTCTGGCTCCCCAAAGCACATGCTCAGAGATTCATTCCTGATGCCCCACCAGCTCCCTTGTCCTGTCCCCGGTCTACATCCCCACCTGCTGGCACTTCCTGCGATCTGACCTTGCCAGTGGGGCTGACCATCTTGCGTCTGTAACCAGGTGCCTTCCAGCTCCCCAGGTCACTCATCCTCTGGTGCCACTGTCCGCACGTGCCGGGCATTACCAAGCTGACCAACACACTGTCCTCCCCACGTGGGCGCTGACCGCACCAACATGGCTGAACCGGCTTGAGTGAGGCCTGAATAAGCTGCATTAACACGGGTGGGCAGCCGGAGATGGCGTGCAGTGTGGGGAAGGGTGCAGGCCAGCAGGGTGCGTAGGCTGGAAACAGACCTGCAGCAGGATTCCCAGACCTCACACAGGACCATCCACCCCACCTCATACTCCCGCTGCCTGGGGGCTGCGTGAGACCCTCCTGACAGCCCCTTCACCCAGGGAACCTCTGCCTCAGAGCAGCAGTACAGACGCCCCCCTGGGGCCACCTCTGGGGACGCTGGGCCCAGTCAGCCTCTCCTCCCTGGGAGCAGCATCCTCGGGCCATCGCCGGCCCTGGGCCCCGCTTGCAGATTCTCTCGGGAGAGCCCACAGCGAGAGGCCCTGTGGCCCCCAGCCCCTGCCCAGGAGAAGGTGCACAGTGCAGCCACTTGGGCCTCAGGCTTCTTTCTGCCTGACTCAGCCAGCCTGGATTCCACCACGAACACAAGAGAAACTATCTTTGTCGAATAACCAGGTGGGGGTGTCTAGCTCCGGTGAGATGTCAATCATAATTCCGGAACCTTCTGACATAATGAAGGTTATGCAGAAACCCCACTGAAGAATTCCCCTGTTAAAGAGAACAGAACCCTCGTGATTCAGATGGCCGT